TATATATATATATATATAATAAAATTTTTATATATTTCTAGTTTATAATATAGAACCAAAAGCCTTTAATTTCTTCTGCGCAAATCTTTTGAATTTATCTAAAAGAAAAGAATGTTAGAAGCTCGAAGGATATGTATAAAGCAAACCCTGCTTTCAAATAACAGCTATATTGCTTTTATTTTCTTTCATTCAGTCTCTCTGTAACGTCACTTAACAAATGAAGAAAGGTGGAGCTCAGATTAATCCAACTTCAAGAACCACTCAACGTAGGCCGTGCTCGGTGATCCAATACTCATCTGATGAATCGTTCTTCATTTGCTCGAAAATAGCTGTTGCTGAAAGGTAAAGACCAGCACATTTTATGTGATTAAATGTAGTAAAAACTGAGTGTTTCAAGAAAAATAGAAAACACAATGAAAGTAACTTTTCTGATATTTCTAAGTATTAAAAATGCTATTTTAACCAAACTTTAAACTATTATAAAAATTTGGCAGGTATTAATTGCAGTTACTTGATGTGTACAGGTGTAGTTTAAATGTATTACCTATAAGTCTGCAATGATACTCTAATATTATAAAGTGACTAAGTTTTTACAGCAGTTACTTACATGCAGCTGCATATGTTTGTTTGTTTTGTAATTAAGCACAAAGCTACACAAAGGGCTATCTGTGCTCTGCCCACCACGGGTATCGAAACTCGGATTCTAGCGTTGTAAGTCTGCAGACATACCGCTGTGCCACTGGGGGGCCAGCTGCACATAAACTGCACTTAAACTCGTGCCAAGAATAAACAATAACAATATGTCACTGACACTTTATCATGTTGATCTGATAATACAGTAATAACTATGGGGCTAGGGAACTTCTCTGTTTTACTTACATCACATTAATGTTGTTATATTGGTACTATGGTACTAAATATGGTACATAAGTACTCACCACACCCGATCCAATTTGTTTAAGTAAACTTGTAGATGAACCTGCTGAGCTCATTCCACCTCCTACACTCTCGTACAGAGCAGTGGCCGAGTATCGTCTACCTCCTCGTCCAGACGCAAAATAATCAACACCTAAGTTGGAAGGCGTTACCGGCTGGGAAGTAAAACAAGTTAATCCCAAAGATTAATAATCATATTTTTTTTATATGGTCGATACATACTTCAGTTGATATAGTAAATCATATTTTTCTAAAAAGATAATATCATATATATCATTGTATTGTTTAAACCACATCTCGGGAAATATACACTAACCTAAAAAAAACACATACTGCCGGTACTGAAATTTTACATAACGCTTAGAGACACTAGATGGCGTACAAAGATCGAGTAAACAGTTCATAAATTTGTTATCGGGTATCATAATTAATTACGTTAAGACTAATATTTCTTTTTAAATAAGTAGTGCTAGATTAACATTATGATAACAGTAAAATATAACTTCTTGTGTTAAGTTCCAATAACATTTAAATAATTTTCTTTCGTGTAATTTTGATCGAAAATTTTGTTAAATGTTTTGAAAATAAAACTTTGAATAAGTGGTTAGTGCTAATTCGTAAAGTTGCAAAGAAATATAAACAATTATTTCGATTTTTTTTTGCTGATATATATTTTCACCTGACAGGATATGTAGAAAACAAAAACTATTAGGGGTGCTAGTCGTCAGAAGTCGGGAATTTTTTGATGCAATCTATAAAAATGAAATTATCTTTATTTGAATTACTTCCATTCTGAAGTACGATGGCGCTAGTGGTCCTTTGAAGGTGATTAAAAAAGGTAATAAACGGCTTTATGTAGAGGGCTCTTAAGGAATAACACATCTCTCTTTGAACGTGCCTGAGCTTTGGAGAATTTTTTCTGAACTTCTGTTACTTATCATATATATGAAATAACACATTTTTAATAACACTGTATAAGAAAGTCTCCACTGTGACGAACTGATAAATGCAGTTTCGAGTCATGCGAGCTCACACGAATCATGCTAAATCACTGATGCAGAATGTTATATATGTTTTATAGATGTGAGGGACAGCTTACCATGCATTCTAATCCCATGTACATCTTTGTAGTATTTTAAATCGAACATAAAACAAAATCTAAATTCTCTGCTAGGGTTATTATGCGAGTTTTCTTCATATGGCTAATGCATAAACTTTAATATGAAATTCATTTGATCATACTACATATGAAATTCCAAACCATGAACATTAATATATATATATATATATATATATACAATAAATAAAATAGTTGTTATTTTTACTTTTTCGTTTTGGTTTATTTTATTAATTAAAATTAATTTAAACTTTAATTTGTTGGTTTAGGTTTAGTTT